AGGCTGCTGCTCCCCCCCGGGGTGCGGGGACACAGCACGGCCAGGGCTGAGCAATAATGGTGACGTTTCTCTCTTGCCAAAGCTGGGCTTTCCCAGAGCCTCCTCTGGAGTGCTGAGGAAAGCTGTCCTGCTCTGGAGGATGCTGTGTCCTGCACCTTTGTGTTCCCATCAGGACTTTGGGGAAGCCTTTCCCCTTCCTGTGAGGCAGGCAGAAGAGGGGGTGTCCCCTCAGCCCCCGGGCTCCTGCTCCTGCTCCAGCAGTGCTGCGGAGGCATGGTGCTGCACTGCCTCTCTGCGCTGTGTTTGGTGAGAATTTAAGAAATAATAATTAAAAAAAATATGAGAAAGGTATGCTCTTTTCAGAAAACCAAACTGCAAACAGAAGTCCCCTCTTCTGCCTTCAGTTAAATTTTTGTACTGTAATGGGATTGTGTGAGAGCCCAAGTGCTGAACATTAACAGGGTTACTTAGGTTAAATAACAGACTCCCTGAAAAGCCGTTCTTGAAGACTGGTGGTAACGGCGGCATGGTCTCTGCCATTGGCATGATTTGCACGTGTGCCCAGATGCATCGGGGTGCTTGGAGGGTGGCAGCACCACTGATGGCTGCCCTATTGCTGCCAACAGGCTACGTGCAACTACACTGCAGCTGAAGGCAACGGACAGACACTGATGGGAAAGTGCACAGGGAAACACGCTAGGGCTGGAAAAGCTGAGCTGCAGAGGGAGAGGCAGCCCGGAGGCAATCGGTGCTTCCCCTCCCTGCGCTCTCCCACTGTGTACAGGACCTGCTGCGGGATGCACATGGGGCCACAGGATAACCCCCAGAGTAAAATGCTGGTTTTGAACAACAAGGTTTTCATTAAATAAAACCACAATGTTTTACGGTTTCTACAGGGATGTCAAGACCTTTAAGTAAATACTTGATTCTATTTAATAACAATAAAGCTATTCCCGAGGTTATTTTCTTAGTAAAATTGCCCATAAAAGCTTGGCTTGCATTAGCAACATCTCTTTCCAGCGGCATTACCAGCGAGGGCTAAAACGAGCACCAAGCCCTGTCTGCCTGCTTGCAGGCACCTGGTGGGCAGCACCCAGTGGGCAGCACCCGCCGTCCCAGTGCCAGCTGGGCTACCCTGCACGGGACCATTGATCTGCCCTGAGTGCTCTTGCTTCGGCACAGCTTAGCGATAGGAAACGGTGCGAGATACGTGTATTTTGCAGTGCCAGGAAACAAAAGGAGTGATCCAACAACTTCTTGGTCTTCTCAGTTTTATTTCAGTTAGGGAAATGTTCATGCCAGGAAGCTCCTCCGGCTTCACATGGCCAGTCCGTGGCGGGGCTCAGTGCGTGTTTCTGCATCGTCACTGCGTGCGCAGAGTGACAGGGTCCTGCTGCAGCCCACAGGCGTGCGGCCACACTGCACCCGCTGGCCGAGCTGCACCGGCTGCTGCATCACCAGGATGAGAGTGATGCTTCCAGGGGGTCACACCAGTGTCTCCAGCACCTGAAGGATGATCAGAGCTGTCCTGGGCAGCAGGACCTCCATCTCCAGCAACACCACATCCCCTAACCTAGGGGGGACCGGCCCCAGGGACTGAGTCACCGATGTCTCCTACTGCCACCATGGGGCATTCCCCACCCCGTCCCACTGCCCATCCCAGCCCTGCAGCCGGCATGGCTCTGTGCAGCTGCTGGAGGAAACAAAGCCTTCCTGCCTTCCTGCCTTCCCACCTTCCCGCCCTCCCATTTGAGAGCTGCCGAGCGCCGGGAGCTGGGTCATTCAGGGAAGCAGCTTTTGAGCGACTACGTGGAGGGCTCTGCTCTGTCCTCCCCCAGCCCCAGCAATTTGGAAGTGAGTTGCAGAGCCCTACCATGATGGTAGAGGGACCTCATTGAGTCTTGGCACAGGAGCACCCCTAAGAGCCTGAGGAACCTGTTGGGGCTGCAAACGTCTGCCGCTGTGCCCGTATGTCTGCTGCTCTCCATGCTAAAGACATTTACTGTATGTGGGTGCCACCAGGGAAAACTGCTGTCTGCGACTCAGCTGCATTACTGGAAGAGCAGCAGCGGTATTTGTGCTGTTGTGAATATTGCATTTCCAGGACCTGCTCTATGGCTTTCAAAATCCTCCTTCCAACTCCCCACA